AAAGATAAAAAAAACAAAAAGATCCATTATTTAAAAAAGCCATCAACTGGCCAGACACAGCAGCCCAGCAGCAACATAATACATGATGCGGAAGCCACGTGGGAGGGTCCTGGGTTTGTGTTCCAAGGTCTCCCTGTATACGCCAGGTGCTCTTGCCCACGATTCTGGCTGGCTGAGGCTGCAGGTGGACCATGGTATATAGACCCTTTTGGGGGCCTGTATATACCTCTCTGTCGCATGGAAGAAATACATAAACTTTTGTTTAAAAAGTCTGTGCCAGATAGCAGTGAAAACATGGAATATGATGCTCTGCAAGGCTGACTCAAATGATTCCAGGTTTGTGTCCCTCTCTGTCTCTTGCTTATGGAAGAAATAAGTAAATAAACTTGAAAAAATGTCAAGAAAATTAAGTTAATGGTAAAATAGGAAATATATTTCCATGATACTTGACAGACTATAAATTAGTATTTCTAATATAAAAAGAACACATAACAATTTACTAGAAAAAGATTAAGATGTATAGTTTCAAAAGAAAAGTTACGAACAATATATTACAAATCTAATAAGCAAAAATTGAATGATTGCTACCATAAAACTTCTGGGAAAAGAGTTGATTAATAAAAGGAGCCCTTGCACAAAATCATAAAGGACACTATATACTTGAATATATTTAAGAAATATACATGTACACACAAAACCCAACTCATGGTGCATTAGAGATTTAAATTTCATTATGACAAATGCCCCAAATTTACATAAGAACTTCAAAAATTAATGGAACCTGAGCTACTGGTAGATAGTCAATAATTCTTCTAATAACATATATCCTCTTTTTTTCATTATTTTCTAAGATTTGGATTGGGCAGTAAGGCAGGGTTGACATGAAAATTAATGATTTTGTCCACACCTTGGTTAACAGTTTATAACTTTATAAGTTCAGTTATAACAAAAGCAAGGATGATTTTCCACTGGGGGAACAGAATTTAAATGGCATCAATGAAACTGAACAAGACGGAACAATTTCTCTTTGTCTCTGGCAGAGTCAACAGTCATTTGTTAGATATTTATTTATTTATTTATTTATTTTAAAAGCAGTTCAATTTTTTTGAGAAAGACTTCTTACTAAAGGGCATGTGTGCTCACCAGAGAGACAAAGGGCAACAGAATGAAAGAAAATGAGAAATCACAACACCACCCCCCCACCCCCGGCAGAATGGCCACACCACAATCCCTTCTCCTCCATTCTCCTCTTGAGATTTTGGGCACAGCATACACACGTGCCTGGCAAGAGTTTCAAGGCTCAAACAGCAGTCAGTCATGTGGGAGCCCAGCGCCTTCACAATTCTGCAACCTGCTAGCCCCAAAACAAGCTAATTTTTTTAAATAGGCAAAAGATTTGAATAAATACTTCTCAAGAGAAGATATACAAATGGCCAATAAGCACATAAGAATAAGCTCAACACTGTATTATTTAAAGGTATGTAATACTTCTTTAATGATCTGATTAAAAACTCAAGCTATTTAGCATCCATTTCAAAAAAGCCTGATTTAGCTCTCAGCCACTCCTTTCAGAACCCTTCTTTGCTTAGTCTCAAGTGTGCTTTACATACTGCTATGGAAGGTCCATCGGTACACAGTCATTTATAAATTTGGACATTCTGGATTCTAAATTTCTTTAAATCTACATTTAAAATTATGATTATTTTCTATAAATATGTAATCGAACACAAATAAAATAAAAACTTTAGAACACAGAACCTAGTTTAGGCTCTAAGGACCAAAGGTCTATTATACACTGACTTTACAGACCTCTCACAGAGAAAACTGTCAATTAGATTTTTATTTGTCCCTTTGCTTTTTCCAATCCAAACAGTGTTTCTCCAAAGCTAATGGTATCTTAGCAATATAATGTCCTTCCACAGAACAGTGATCAAAACATGAGGTCCATTAGGAAACATTAGGAAATTCCCATTATCAGTTCTTCAAACTGTTTTCCTTGAAGGTTCAACCCCAAACTAAACCAATCCTTTTTGTGAGAATAAGTCAAACCATAGTATGATTGTATATATCATGTGCTCTTTCTGGCCATTCCTGTTTCACCTACCATAAGAAGTCCAATTTCAATGAGGGAAGAAAAACTTAAAAAATATATACTCAATAATAAATGGATTGAAATTATTCTTTTTCAAATAGGATAAATTACTTTTACAATAAGTTATATAGTAAGATATTCATATGTGGTTTAAAGTAAGGAGCCCCAGTGTCACTTACTATCTACTAGGTAGATGCAAAGAAGTCAGTGGAAAGAGTGCAACATAAATAACACCTTACAGAACTGTTTGGGCATAATGGAGCCACTTGCAGATACATTTCTAAATTCTATCCTCAAATATAAATTAAGTGAAAATGCAGGAAACTCCATCAGGCTGTCTCTTTCTTACGAAAGGAAGAAAGAAAGGAAGGAAGGAAGGAAGAAGAGAAGAGGGAAGAAAAGAAAAGAAAAAGAAAGATGGGGAAGGAAGGAGAAACAAACAAACAAACCAGATTCATAACTATCTAAGTGAACAGGCATTACTGATATCCTCCATATACTGAGAGTCAAATTTCCTAGTACAATGACTTTCATCAACCTAATCAAGATAATAATTTGTTTAGTAATGTAAAGATTAGTCAAAGACCATATCATTATGCAATGACTGAAGTAATTTTTTAAAAACATTTTCAAAAACAAAGACAACTGATTTTTAAAAATGGGCAAAGTATTTGAATATTTCTCAAAAGAAGATATAAGAATGGTCAACAGCACGTCAGAATAAGCTTAACATCAGTAGTCATCGGGGCAGTACAAACCAAAACCACAGTGAGATACTATTTCACACACTCAACAAGATAGCTATAATCTTTTTAAACATTGAAAATAAAAAGTGCTGGTGACAGTGTGGAAAAATAGAAACATGTACACATTATTGGTGAAACTGTGAAATGATAGAGATGCTGTGAAAAACAATATGGCAGCTCTTCAAGATAAACAGTTATTATTGGACCCAGCAATTCTACTCCTAGGTAGTTGCCCCAGCAAAATGAAAATACATGCCATATAAAAAACGTGTACGCAGTGGTCACAGGAGCGTTATTCATAATAGCCAAAAGCCAAATGTCTATCAGCTGATGGAAGGAAAAATAAAATATGATATAGTCATACAATGCAATATTATTTGGCAGTAAGAATAAAAGAAATGGATAAATCCTGAGACCTCTATGTCAAATGTAAGAAGACGGTCACAAGGGGCCATTTATCATTCCAGAGATTGGGAGAAGGGTACAGTACTAACGGATATAAGGTTTCTTTCTAGGTGATGAAAATGTTCTGAAATTAGATAATGGTGATGGTGGCAAAACTCAATGAATATACCAAAAACCACTGTACATGTTCAAAGAGTGAATTTTATGATATGTGAATTATACTCCATAAAGCTGTCATTTTAAAAAGAAACAAGAGTGAATGCCCTGAAAAGCGTAATTTTTGATCGGGATATAAATATTTTCAGTTTTTATTTTATTAATAACTCCAGGACTACATTAGAAAAAAAAATCATAAAGGGAAGGTTGTTCTGGAGGATTTTAAGATTGACACTAAAATTAGAAAAACATGTTTGCAAAGCAACTTAATTCTATCAAGTATCAGACTTCTAGAAGATTTTCCCAAAATACATGACTTTTCTGAGAAGGACTAAAGAAAATAAAATGTGCCACAGATTTTTATGCTTTCTATATTCTCTGCACGTCTGTGCATCCTTGTCTGTGTTTCTACTTCTAGCTTATTAGATTTGACTCATAAACCCAAAAGCACGAGACCCAAGCCCCTCTTTCTTTAACAATAACCCAGATTGAATGTCAAAATGAAAGAACATTTGGATGTTAGAATGACAGGTGTAGGGACCTTGTATAATTATTTCAGTCTTCTCTCAAGCCATTCTAATTAGGATCACATGTTCCATAATGCAAGTTATCTAATTCTGAATTTTGAGAGGGAAGATCAAATACATTTTAGAAATGTCTGTTGATTTAAAAAAAAAAAAAAAAAAAAAAATTGTTTCAAAATAA